ATGACAACCTACAGCGGGAAAAAATCTGCCTCGTCAGTCATGTATCGAAAGATACATGATCGGCTAAGTGTGTATCCCGCATGGCACATAACTCACTGACAAATAGCTATATTGAGGGAAAAGGAAATTTCGACAATATACGCATTTTTTACGTATTTATGGTTATTTTTTTAACTTTTATCAAAAACGAGATTCTTGTACATTGTGGATAATATTATTCATTAATTACTAAATTTTTAATTAATTTGTGCTCATTTGTTGACATTAATAGCTATCTGCTGATGTATTAAAATTTTGGAATAATGCAATAATAAAAATCTAAATTTCATCTCTCTGAGAGATGTTGCGATCTGTAAATAAACCCATTGATGGTGATAAACCGTAAAACAAAATAAAGCTTTTATCTTTTTATAGCACCCGATACTTTTTGATCAGCCCTCATATATATATATATATATATATATATATATATATATATATAGATATAGATATATATATATATATATATATATATATATATATATATATATATATATATCCCTGGATTTTATATTCTAGTTTTGTTACATTTTATCAATTCAGGATTCTTACTACATATCATTGAACCCTGAAAGACAGTCGCTGTTCGAATTACCTTTGACCCTGCGAGTAATGTCATTAAAAGTATTGATCTCGATAAGATGTTCATATAAAATCAATGGAACTTCGAAAAGTTTGTTCAGCATTCGAATTTTCGCGTTACTTTAAAAAGAAAATCCTTTATTTTTTAACGATTAACTATAAGCAAGAAAAAAATCAATTGTTCTTTATTTTGGCGTGGGAAGCCCAACTCTTTCAACTAAATTTCGTTAGGAAAAAAGAAAAAAGTACTGAATTGTTATATAATACCAGTTCCTCCTATATGGCGTGACGTAATGGATAGTGGCTCTTACTGTAGAACTGGAGAGCCGAGTTCGAATTCCAGTATAGTTCATTACATTCACTTACGTGCTAATAACCTTTGGAAAGTTATGAATCTATCTCTAAATACCAGGACAGATTTGGAACTATAGTTTCAGTTAGCAACCATTCAAGGAGAAGGAAAACGGAATTCAAACTAGCCTGGAAAGGCTTAGGTTCCATTAGACTGTCTTGCCCAAGACACACCACTGCTGTTATGGCTGCAGTACATATGATGCCCCTACGACCCCAGAGTCCATACTGCTTATATTTACAAACGCTTTATACGTTTAAAGTATATTTTATTACATATATATTATTAAATACACATATACCTGAGTTTGTAGTGCAACTTTCATGGTTTCTCAAGTCGCTAAGCACAAATGGATATATACTTCATAGCTCTGTTTAACTACATTGAGCACTGTTTTGTTTGCACCATACATTAAATTAAATAAATATTTATTTGCTTATATGTGTATGGACACTATCGCATTTATATCTCTTTATTTAGTTTATATTCACATATATATATATATATATATATATATATATATATATATATATATATATATATATATATATATATAATAACAAGTGTGAATATAATAAATAAAGATATATATATATATATATATATATATATATATATATATATATATATAAGTGTGAATATAAACTAAATAAAGAGATATGCGTGCGATAGCGTGCATACACAGATAAACAAATATATATATGTGTGTGTGTGTGTGAATATAAACTAAATAAAGAGATATGTCAAAAAGTTGTTTTATACGCAAAAATACACGGTATATATATATATATATATATATATATATATATATATATATATATATATATTATTATTTATTAGACATTTTATGTTTAACGTTCTTTTTTATAGATACAAGTATTTAAGTAAATGCTCTGTTTATAATAAACAGTATTAAATAACATTTACCGGCCTGAATGTCCGAGAAATTTTCATATTTTCATTCAGGCCGGTAAATGTTATTTAATACTGTTTATTATAAACAGAGCATTTACTTAAATACTTGTATTTATAAAAAAGAACGTTAAACATAAAAATGTCTTTAATAAATAAATTGTCGGACTTTGTCCATTTCTTAATATATATATATATATATATATATATATATATATATATATATATATATATATATTTCACTGGTTCCCAGACTCCATGAATTCAAGCGCCCGCTCCCACCCTTTCACTGTCAAAACTACTAAATGTAGCCGTCTCTTCTACTCCAATAGCTTCATACCTCGCACCTCTTGCCTGTGGAACACCCTTCCCAATTACTGTTTCCTTGAGAGCTATAATCACCAACTATTCAAATGTAATGTCAATCGACACCTCCAGTTACCTTGATCTACCCACTATCCTTCTTCTTATCCTTTCTTCTATCCCTCCTATCTGCTCTTGCTCCGAATCTTCTGCAACCCCTTGCATCCTAGTGTCTTCACGCCTTGCTCGGGGCGTAATGCTTAAAAATATATAACAACAACAATAAGAATATTTTATGTAACATAAAATACACAATAAATATGTGTTGATTGAATTTTAGTGAATGAAGGATTTGGTTGGTGCATTTTAAAATCAGCGTCACGTGAGGTTGAGTTCAATGAATTGAATGTTTTGTCTTATATTATGTGTGAAATTTCCATAGAATTTGTTAGTAGATAAACTTGTTTAAATTGAATTTTAAACAGTTTGTAAAACACTTTCTGAAATGAAATTCGTGATATAAAAGTTTAGTAACAGAAGATGTCTGCCTTTGACTATATGCTTGTCTCTGTGTGTCAAAGATAGCATAAAAAATATCTTACAAGAATTCTGGATCTGTCTATATTTCTGAGATGAGGTATTATGTACACTATTGTCCTCATTTTTGTCGACATATTTATCACAACGTTTCGGACGGTGTACGCTCCGGCCTTCTTCAGGTGGTTGGAATGTCTAACTTAACTCTTTATTTCGCTCACTGTTGAAACGTTTTGATAAATATGGCGACAAAGATGAGGACAATAATCCGAATAATGTAAATAGTGTACATAATACCTCATCTCAGAAATATAGACAGATCCAGAATTCTTGTAAGATATTTTTTATGCTATCTTTGACACACAGAGACAAGCATATAGTCAAAGGCAGAGATCTTCTGTTGCTAAACTTTTATATCACGAATTTCATTTCAGAAACTGTTTTACAAACTGTTTAAAATTCAATTTAAACAAGTTTATCTCCTAACAAATTCTATGGAAAGGCCGAAACGTTGTAATAAATATAGTGACAAAGATGAGGACAATAGTCCGAATAATTTAAATAGTGTACGTAATACATCATCTCAGAAATATAGACAGATATTGAAAGGCCGAAACGTTGTAATAAATATGGTGACAAAGATGAGGACAATAGTCCGAATAATGTAAATAATGTATTTATGAGGATTGAGACATACCCGTTAGTGTTCATAGATAAGTTATATAACATTTTCCTTGTTCCAATATGCCAACGCAATATCTTAATTAATTTTGGTAAAAGCGACTATGTTTTAACATTGTTCCATATATGAGGCAAGAATATCTTAGGTAGTATTTATTACCCACAACCTAACGATCTATCGTTCGGTACCTGAGCCCATTTTACAGTCCTCACGCAACCCACACGAATGCATGGTACAACTATGTGTATGTAAAATTTTAAAAAATGATCCCCAAAAAGAACAGAAATTCCAAGTGGAAAACGAAATAAAAGACAAAAAAAATTAAACGTATTTGATTTTTTAAAAAAAATGTGTTTCTGCTGTACCATGATCTCAGAAGGAATCAATTATATCATCCTAATAATCCTCAGAGAAAAGAAATTGAAAAACGACCTACCAGAGGGTCGTGTTGGCCTTGCAGCAATACCACCACGACCACCCGGTGGGTCGCGTGGGAGCCAACTTGCTAAATGACTTCGTAAATGGATTTATAAAATGATCAAAATCCGATCTTATATTCGTCGTTTGTCAGGCAATTAGGTCATGAATTCATCGTTTGTCTGGTAATTGGGTCTTAAATTCGTCGTTTGTCAGGTAATTGGGTCTTAAATTCGTCGTTTGTCAGGCAATTGGGTCTTAAATTCGTCGTTTGTCAGGCAATTAGACCATAAATTCGTCGTTTGTCAGGCAATTGGACCTTAAATTCGGTGAAATAAATAAAAGTTATTGGTTGATATTACAGACGGCTTCGTCGCCTTTCGATTTGCAATTCAGTTCAGTTGTGTGGAGGGTGAATTTTTTCTTTCTACGTTATTAAAATTTCTTTCTTCACCCCCCACGCCAAAATCTGTTTCTCAAGTGACCGGAAGGAATAACGTATTTCCGCCATTGCAATGAATCAAAGCAGACCTTCTTTTTAATCGAAATCAATCAAGTGTTTTAAACAAAAAACAAAAAAAAAGAGCAAAAAAGGAGGAAGAAAAGTTTGTGTGTATTTCTGGGTCGGTTGGAAAAGATATTGTACAACAATGATTCGTTTTTTGTTTGTTTTTTTTGTTTGTTTTTTTGTTTTGTCTTTTTCGTTTTCATATATGACAATCAGTATAATGACAATTTCATCTGAATCATTTGTTGGGGAAAAAAGAGTATCACAAACCAATGAAAATTTGAATCTTCATTTTTACATTTTCTAACCAATAGAAAAGCTTGTAGCAAACTCTAAAATTTTCCTCTAAAGATATAGGTCAGTGATTTAAAATGTGGATCAAATCAGCCTTTCAAATCTGCGTTCTGCCATCGATATTTTAGCCAATAAAATGTGTAAAACATAATTGCATTATTATTTTTTCGTCCAATTAGAATTCTCATTGAGAAAAGTATCCTCAATAAAATTTAGCCTTTGTTTTAGCCAATCAAATTCTTAGAAATATCCGAAATCAATTGCAATAAATGAATAGTTAGTTTTCTTTCAAAGTTGCACGATGTGTATTCCTCCGATTTATCCATTTTTTTGTATCTTGCAGTTTCGTCTGCTTTCAGTCAATTTCTACCGACATGCCATTGAATGGTAGATTTAAAAAAAAAACCTTTGTGGCAGACATAAATTCTACCGCTGCCTCCTCTCCTTATGCATATAGAGACGTACGCATCATACTGCAAGGAATTGACTGCCACACACAAACTATACAATGTCTACATTCATCTTTCCTTTTACCTCATTGTGAATGAATATTTCATACTATATTAATTAATTGTACAACAAAGACTAAATTTTAATCACTATTTATGTAGTTTATACGAAGAAAATTTGTTCTTATAATCGGACACATTTTTTCTTCCTTTTTTCATTGTTTCATATTCTATTTATTACGCACATTTTTTTCCTTTTCACTTCTTTTATTTTATAACCTTATCCTTTTCTTTCTTTTACCTCTATCTTTCTTTGCACTTTTTTCTTTTGTTCCTCTACTTTTCTTTCCTTTTTTTTTCTTTTTTTGTTCCTTTACATTTCTTTCTTTCAACTTTCTTCTTTTGTTCCTCTACTTTTCTTTCCTTTCTTTTCTTCTTTTGTTCCTCTACTTTTCTTTCTTTTTTTTTCTTCTTTTGTTCCTTTACATTTCTTTCTTTCTTTCAACTTTCTTCTTTTGTTCCTCTACTTTTCTTTCCTTTCTTTTCTTCTTTTGTTCCTCTACTTTTCTTTCTTTCCAATTTCTTATTTTATTCCTCAACCTTTCTTTCTTTCTTTCTTTCTTTCCACTTTCTTCTTTTGTTCCTCTACTTTTCTTTCCTTTCTTTTCTTCTTTTGTTCCTCTACTTTTCTTTCTTTCCAATTTCTTATTTTATTCCTCAACCTTTCTTTCTTTCTTTCTTTCTTTCTTTCTTTCCACTTTCTTCTTTTGTTCCTCTACTTTTCTTTCCTTTCTTTTCTTCTTTTGTTCCTCTACTTTTCTTTCTTTCCAATTTCTTATTTTATTCCTCAACCTTTCTTTCTTTCTTTCTTTCCACTTTCTTCTTTTGTTCCTCTACTTTTCTTTCCTTTCTTTTCTTCTTTTGTTCCTCTACTTTTCTTTCTTTCCAATTTCTTATTTTATTCCTCAACCTTTCTTTCTTTCTTTCTTTCCACTTTCTTCTTTTGTTCCTCTACTTTTCTTTCCTTTCTTTTTCTTCTTTTGTTCCTCTACTTTTCTTTTTTTTCCAATTTCTTATTTTATTCCTCAACTTTCTTTCTTTTTTCTTTTTTTCCACTTTCTTTTCTTTTTTTTTTGTTCCTCTTACTTTTTTTCTTTCTTATTTTATTTTTCTTCTTTTTTTCCTTTCTTTCCACTTTTTTTTCCTCTACTTTTTTCTTTCTTTTCCAATTTGTTTTTTTTATTCCTCAACCTTTCTTTTTTTTTCTTTTTTTCCACTTTCTTCTTTGTTCCTCTACTTTTCTTTTCCTTTTTTTTTTCTTCTTTTGTTCCTCTACTTTTCTTTTCTTTCCAATTTCTTATTTTATTCCTCAACCTTTCTTTCTTTCTTTTTCCACTTTCTTCTTTTGTTCCTCTACTTTTCTTTTCCTTTTTTTTCTTCTTTTGTTCCTCTACTTTTCTTTTCTTTTTTCCAATTTCTTATTTTATTCCTCAACCTTTCTTTCTTTCTTTCTTTCTTTCTTTCCACTTTCTTCTTTTGTTCCTCAACCTTTCTGTCTGTCTTTCTTTCTTTTTTTTCTTTTGTTCCTCTCTTATATCACTGTTGCATGACTCCCGTTTGCTCTTGTTTTTTTTTTTTATCAATGGCTATTTTTATAAACATTGATTTTCTTGCCTTACGTCTTATCACAGCACTGATTATTTGTTTTTATTTTCCTCAAAATGAACAATGTGATTCTTTTTTATTATTTCCCATCAAATATTGATACGCTATTTTAATTGGCGATAGTACAAACGAACGAAATCTTACGAAGCAAAACGAAACTCACACACCCAAATACATCCTCCATTTTGGGATATTTTTCATATTGCTCACGTATTTCTTTAGTTTCTAATAATGCTCTTTCTAATTGTCGTACTTCTTTCATGGTTAGACTTTTTCTAATAGTAATACTCTTTCTAATACTAAAGTTATTTAATGGTAATACGCTTTTTAATGGCAATTCACTTTTAGTGGTAATATTCTTTCTGGTGGTAATATACTTTTAAATACTAATATTCTTTTAATGGTAATACTTTTTAATGGTAATACTCTTTCAGTGTTAATTCTTTTTTTAATGATAATACTTATTCTAATGGTTAATCTATTTTTAATGTTCATAGACTTCCTCATGGTCAAACTATTTTAATGGTAATACTTTTTCTAATGTTAATATTCTTTTAATGATAATACCTTATCTGGTGGTAATGATTTGTGTAATCAATAATCTTTGTAGTGGTAATACATATTCTAATGTTAATACTTTTAATGGTAATACTATTTTCAATGGCAATCCTTTTTCTAATGGAAATTCTCTTTTTAATGTTAATACTCTTTCAAGTGATAACACTTTTCTAATGATAAAACTATTTTAAACATAATACTC